TCCCAGAATTCCTGAACTAACATGACTGGAGGAGGAATTCTGGGAGTTGAAGTCCACAAGTCTTAAAAGCTGTCAAGTTTGAAGAGCCTTAATTTAACTTATTTAGTGAAATCCTTTCATTCCTTTTCATGGTCAATTTAAAAGACCACACAAGACAACTGCGCATTAATTAAATACATTTCATGTTTTAATACATACAGTGTTTATTAAAGATGAAAAGAGTTTAATTTAAAACTCAGTACCAGGTAATAAGTAGACACATGTTTTATGGTGGTAGCATCCAGCAAAAAGCAAGGTCAAGTTATATACAGCATAAAGATGCCCCCTGCTGAAATTTAACTGATGGAAGAGTTGATCAGCCTAGACATTCTTCTCTGTATCTTTCTGGCTCTTCTCTCCAGCAAACTCCAGAAAAATCATATCAACTGGAAGCAATTTATAAGGGTGTTATTTTTATTTCGTCATTTTTGCTACCATCAGCATCCGGAGTGGCAGTGTGTCTTCTACCCAAGTGTTGGGAGAATTGATCATTCTTTCCCATAAGGTGGCTTCATCTAAAGTAGAGTCCATCCAATCCACTACAGTGCCATAGCTTTTGCCTAATAAAAGTGTTTAAATAAACAAGATTAGTAGCAAATATTGATTAGTTATCTGCATGGTAATACGGGTTATCTTCAACTTACAACCATTTGTTGTAAGTTTAAAGTTACAAGAGCACTGAAAAAAGTGACTTATAACCATTTTTCCACACTTCCACAGAGAGAGGGAGAGAGAGGGAGAGAGGGGGAAGAAAGAAAAGAAAAGAAAGGAAAGAAAGGAAGGAAGGAAGGAAGGAAGGAAGGAAGGAAGGAAGGAAGGAAGGAAGGAAAGAAAGAAAGAAAGAAGAAAGAAAGAAAGAAAGAAAGAAAGAAAGAAAGAAAGAAAGAAAGAAAGAAAGAAAGAAAGAAAGAGAAAGAAAGAAGAAAGAAAGACAGAGAAGAAGGAAGGAAGGAAAGAGAAAGGTACAGAGAGCAAGAAGAAGGAAGGAAGGAAGGAAGGAAGGAAGGAAGGAAGGAAGGAAGGAAGGAAGGAAGGAAGGAAGGAAAAAGAAAAGATAGAGAGGAAGGAAAGAAAGAAAGAAAAAGAAAGAGGAAAAAATGATAGAAACTTATACCTGTTCCAAGTCCTATTCTAAGTCCTCCTAGGAAATGGTTGGCAAGTTTGTTATGATCCCAAACAGTAAGTTCCACGCATGCTTCTTTCAAGTCTTCAGGTTTGAAGCCATCATAAACCATGGTGTGATTAAAGATGGGATTTGTTGTCTTCGCAATAGCTCTCGTTTTCTGACGGCTCTTTCTGCTTGTATCCGGAAGAACGGTACTTTGGACAACAAAGACAAAACAAATGATACCCATGACACTTTAGATCAGGGGTGTCCGACCTTGGCAATTTTAAGACTTGTGGACTTCAACTCCCAAAATTCCTCAGCCATCCATGCTGTCTGGAGCATTCTGGGAGTTACAGTCCACAAGTCTTAAAGTTGCTAAAGCTTAGATAGTATATTTTATAGCAATACAAAAGTTAACAAGGAGAATCTGTTCAAATCCCAACTTAGACATAAATGCCAGGTGGATGATTTTCAGCCAATCCACCATGAATATTGCTATATGAATACTGCTATATGAAAGCAAAGAGAGGAAATTGCTATTTCTCATGTCTAAGAGGAAAAAAATTTGAAACAATAAACAATAAAATGCTCTTATAAAATCTTAGTTGACTGATTGTCTAGTTTGCAGGATGCTTTTCGTCCTCCAATTGCTGCTTTGCCATGCTATGCAGTGCCACTAACTATTTTATTTGGCTTTATTATGTTTTATTAATTGATCCAATCTCTACCCTGCTCATCTCACCTTAAGTGACACAGGGCACTTTACAAAATACCATAAATTAATATATACCCATGACTAAAAAGCACAGTGAAGAACACCGTTAAAAAACAAGGTTAAAATTTACCAAAAAAAAAAGCAAACTCAAAAAGTTAACAAGGCTGAAAGGTTAACAAGGAGAGTCTGTTCAAATCGCAACTTAGCCAAAAAAGCCAGGTGGATGATTTTCAGCCAATCCATGAATATTAATCCCGTCTTGGTCATGAAAGCCAGCTGGGTGACTTGGAGCTAATCACTGTCTTTCGGCCCAGCCCACACTACAGGGTGGTTGTTGCAGGGAAAACAAGAGGAGGAAGGTGTGTGGGATATGTTCGCTGCCTTGGGTTATTAGTACCTGGCAGTGTTGGCTGAACACAGGTATGGAAAATGTTGATCAGTAGATACAACTTTTTCTAAGAGTTCAGCCATAAGAATGAACAGAAGCCCAGAAAGTAATGACTCTGAGATGATGTCAGCCTTACCAGGAAGACCAGACAGGAATTATTATTATTACCTTTATTGTCAGAATACAACATGTGTACATTGAGATTGGCTGAGCCTCCCTTTGTTGTACCCCGCCACCCAACACAACTCACAGTGAGGACAGAAGTACCGAACCCAGTCCCAATCTTATTACACGATGTGATCTTGTTGCACAACGCAAGTCAGTGTTATTTTCCGTTCAGAAGTCTGACAGCCCACGGGTAGAAACTGTTCTTCAGCCTGTTGGTACAGCTGACTATGCTTCTATATCTCCTACCTGATGGTAGGAGAGTGAAGAAGTGCCGACCGGGGGTGTGTGAGTCGTCCCTGAGAATTTTCCTCACTCTTCTAAGGCAGCGAGTCCCAGCGAGGTCATCTAGTGGTATCAGGGAACAGCCCTGTCAAGCCAGCATACCACACCATAATGCAGTATGTGAGGACACTTTCTATTGTGGATTTTCTATGGTAAAAGGAGGTCATCAGTCGTTGTTCCACTTCATTCTTTCACAAGACCCTGAGGAAATGGAGTCTCTGTTGGGCCTTTCTGGCCACCTGGGTTTTGTCGATTTTCCAGGTGAGATCTTCGCTGAGGTGGACTCCCAGGAATTTAAAAGAGGAAACTCTCTCCACACAGCACCCCCCTCGATGTAAAGTGGGGCGGGTTCCTCTCTCTTCTTCCGGAAGTCTAACACCATCTCCTTTGTCTTGCTGATGTTTAGGCGCAGGTTACACAGCCAGGTAAACTAACTCTATTTTATGGTAAAGCTACATTAACTGAATCGAATGAGCCTGAATGTATAATTCTCCCATCTCCTATGCAGCCCAATAACATAGGAAGAGTCTCTTTCCTCCAGCTCCTATGCAGTTCTGGCCTGTGCTTCCTCTTATCTGACCATTCCCTAAGGAAGCGTCTCTTTGCCTGGTTTTCCAAGCTCATTCCTACAAACAGGTAGTCCTCGACTCGCAGCCATTTGTTCAGTGACCATTCAAAGTTACGACGACACTGAAAAAAGTAATCTATGATCGGTTTTTTTCACATTTACAACTGTTGCAGCATCCCCCCGTGATCAGAATTTGAATGCTTGGCAACGGACTCACATTTATGACTGTCGCAGTGTCCTGGGGTCAGGTGATCCTCCTTTTGCAACCTTCTGAAAAGCAAAGTCGACGGGGGAGCCAGATCCACTTTTACAACTGTACTACTAACTTAAATAACTGCAGCGATTCACTTAACAACCGTGGCAAAAAAAAGTCGTAAAATGGGGCAAAGCTCATTTAACAACTGTCTCACCTAGCCACAGAAATTTTAGGCTCAGTTGTGGTTGCAAGTCGAGGACTACCTGTAGAGATAGGTGTGGTTGAAGTTTCCAGTTCCTTCTCAGAAGGATTTCCTCATTCAAATGGTGGTGGCAATAACAAGAACCAACCCATGCAGAAAAGCTAGATTTAATAATGGCTTCCTAATGTTCTTGCAGTGGCGCAGTGGTTGGAGTGCAGTCCTGCAGGCTACTTCTGCTGACTGCCAGATGCCTGCAATTTGGCAGTTCAAATTCCACCAGGCTCAAGGTTGACTCAGCCTTCAATCCTTAGTAAAATGAGGACCCAGATTGTTGGGGGCAACATACTGAACCACTTAGAGAGGGCAGTAAAGCACTGTGAAGTGGTATATAAGTCTAAGTGCTATTTTTAAGTGAGTGGGAAGGAAGGAAGGAAGGAAGGAAGGAAGGAAGGAAGGAAGGAAGGAAGGGCCATGGTGGAACAGTGGTTACAATGCAGCATTGCAGGCTAACTCTACTGACCTCAGCAGTTCGATCCTGAATGGCTCAAGGCTAATTTAGCCTTCTCTCCTTCTGAAGGGGGTAAAATGAGGACCCAGATTGTTGGGAGCAAGAGGCTGACTCTGTAAACTGCTTAGAGAGGCCTGTAAAGCACTGTGAAGCGGTATATAAGTCTAAGTGCTATTGCTATTGTGTGATTTCCGTGGTGGTTTTCCAAGGGCTCTACTGCAGTATGTTACGACTGCAAAACTATAATGGAGAATTCCCAACCACCCTCAATAAGTTCTGTTCCAAAACACAGTTGTCACTCACACTGGTACCTATTTTGCACATTCGCTGTACTTAAAAAGGTAAAGATAAAGGTTTCCCCTGTCCAGTCACGTCCAATCCTAGTGGGCAATGCTCCTCTCCACTTCCTAGCTGAGAGAGACGGCATTGTCAAGACGCTTCCTTGGTCATGTGGCCAGCATCATTACATACCGAGCTGCATGAAACGCTGTTTCCTCTGCATCAAAGTGGTACCTATTTATCTACTTGCATCTGCACGCTTTCAAACTGAGACAAGCAACGGGAGCTCACCCGGTCGTGCAGTACCCGGGTCTCAAACCATGGCTGTCAGCTGACAAGCTCAGCATCTTTAACTGCCGAGCCATCGTGCTCAGTGATGTACTTACCACTTCACAAAGGAATTGAGTTTTGGACCTCTGAGGACAGGCAGGTCATTGCATTGTTTCACCCAAATGTGAACTTCACCGGTAGCTGGAATCTTTTTGCCTTTAAAAGAGAAACGTATATAACAGATGGTTAACAGAGGGCTTCAAATAATAGTTTTACCTTTGGGTCACCTATTGATTGCTTTTTTATATGAAGCAGAATATAACAAGACTTGGAAGGGACCTTTGAGGTCTTCTAGTCCAACCTCCTGCTTAGGCAGTAACCCTATACTATTTCAGACAAATGATTGTCCAATTTCTTCTTTAAAACTTCTTTAAAACTTGTTGGAGCACCCACAACTTCTGGAGGCAAGTAGTTCCACTGATCTATTGTTCTGTCAGCAATAGTAAACAGATGGTGGGTTGATTTAACTGATAAACTGATTTCCACATCAAGGATATCTAGTACTTTTATTAAATATAGATGGGAAAGTTTATAATTACTTGCAGACCTATTAGGAAGGGGTGGGATTCAAATTTTTTAACAACTGGTTCTGTGAGCGTGGCTTAAATGGTGGGAGTGTCTTGGTGGTCATGTGACTGGCTGGACATGGCTTGGTGGTCATGTTATTGGCTGGGTGTGGCCAACTCAACATCACTCACATCGAGGCACGCATCTCCTCGCCTGGCCTCTCATGACTGTGGGGATGCTTCAACAGTCGTAAGTGTGAAAAATGGTCATAAGTCACTTTTTTCAGTGCCACTGTAACTTTGAATGGTCACTCCACACAAAGTACTAGCAAAGGAGGGGGAAAAAACTCCAGAGAAGCTCTGGAGACAGGAAGTCTAGTCCTACCAAGAAAGTAATAAGGGTTAAGGGAGAGGCCGTTTCTGTAAGCAACACCAGAATGTTTCCTTCCTGCCTTCCTTACAGGATTAGACCAGTAATTTCTTCTAACAACCAGTTCTCCGAACTGCTTAGAATGTTAACAACCAGTTCTAGCGCATAGGTGCGAACCGGTAGAATCCCACTCCTGCTGTTAGGTAAAGCAAAGAGAATGTACCAGATATTTTCAATATACTTTTCAGCATCAGCCAGGATGGACATTATATGTTTAATGTCATTTTAACAATATATTCGCTATTTGTTGTGTTCTTTTATACACATGCTTTTTATTGTTAGCATTTGAAGATGCTAAGGATATCTTATTTGATCACGTGACCATGGGGATGATTCAAGGGTCATAAGTGTGAAAAACAATCATAATTCACTTTTTGCAATGCTGTTGTATAACTTTGAATGGTCAGTAAATGAACTGTTGTAAGTCGAGGACCACCTGTACAAGCAAATAAATATATACAGTATCTGTGTGTGTGTGTGTGTGTCTATATATCTGTATCTATAAATCTTTGTATCCAAGGCTGCTATGGGTCATCCGGGTTTGTCCGGAAAACCCGTAGCTAATGTTATGTAATGCGAACCGGCAAATCCCATCCCTGGCTGGCCCCGCCCAGCACCTCCCAGCCAATCACCTCCCAGGAGTCTCCATGCAGCCCATTTTGGATGCGAGATAAATGCCGGGCCCACGCAGAGGTTCAGGGGGAAATACAGGCCTCGCGGAGGCTCCGGAAGGCTGGAAATGGGCCCATTTCCAGAGAGCCTCCGGAGCCCGGGGAAGCCATTTTCGCCCTCAAAGAAAGCCTCCGGAGCACGGGGAGGGCGAAAACGCCCCACCCCCGCCTGCTGTGGTGGAGGAAGCTGATTAGGCCACGCCTGCCATGACCATGCCCACCCAGCAACCGGGCAGAGAACCAGTTGCTGAGATTTTCAAACCCACCCTCATTTATACACACACAGGTGCGCGCACCCAGAAAGACAGATACACACACAAAACTGGAATACTGACCTCCAACAGGCTGTGGGACATACTGGAGAGCTATCTTTATCTCCCCTCTGTTTTCAAGCTCTAATCCTTTTAAGGGAGTCTTCACCATTTGGAAAAAGAAATGAAGAAATAAACAGTCAATGCTTATGAGAAGCCTAGTGCACATCGCTCGACATACTTTTTTTAACTTTACATACCTATTCATCAAACAGAATGCCCAAAGAAGTATAACCAATCACTGGGAGTTTGAAGGGGCCACTGAAGCTCTTACAATCAGCTATGTAATGTGACCGGCTATTTCGTTTTTCCAGAACAAAAATTTTCCACCACAAAGCGAATATACTGTATTTGTTTAAGTTCTCACGCCCATAAGCTTTACAGAGGCCAACGGTCACAGAGGTTTTGTACTTCAGGACATAAAACATGATTTAGGTGACTTTTTTTTAATATTCCTTGTACTATCTGGGAAGATTCCAAAGTTGCTTTTTCAAGAGACAGCTGGACTTTCTGGTTCTTCTTTGAAGACCTTTTGCTTCTCATCTGAGAAGCTTCTTCAGCTCTGACTGGAGGGTGGGGAATGGAAGGAATTATATTCCTTGCAGACCGCTGGTCATTTGCATCCTTTTAGAGAGTTGCTGAGGCTATTTGGAGGTTTGTCTGTGTCATCGGGGTCACCTGAGTGGTGGAAAGGGGTGTGCAGCCTTCTTGGAACGGCTGAAAGGACCATGTTGTAGACTGGAGATAGATGATGTTGTATCTCTCCCACTCTGTTGACTAGCTGTCTGCAAGGAGTATAAATCCTTCCATTTCCCACCATCCAGTCAGAGCTGAAGAAACTTCTGGGATGAGAAGCGAAACATCTTCAAAGAAAAACCAGAAAGTCCAGTTGCCTCTTGAAAAAAAAAAAGGCACCTTTGGGACAATCATGGCCTGGATGACTGAGAATCTCCATAGACATTTGGGAAGATTGTGCTATGCCTGGGGGTGTTATATGGGCAAGGTGAAGGCTGAAGAACATTTAGCTCACACTTAGGAAATCAAAACTTACCCTTGGTTTCAGTGGGTACCAGATCATTTGTTTGTTCTGACTGTCCTTCCAGTCCCAGTTTGCCAAATCCAGCTCCACTTCACCCAAGAAACTATTCCGCCCAAAAGTATCGTGATGCCAAACCGAGATATTCAACCTTTGACTCTCCAAAACAGCTTTGTCTATTTTATACTGCAGAGAAACAAACAGACATGAAACATAGTTAAGATGAAGTCTCTTTCATCTTAAACCAATGATTTGTAGACACTTCCTAGCAATTTTCACGGTGACATTAGCATCCTGCCATCAGCAGTCCCAGGTCGAGTGCTTAGGGGTAGCTCATGAGCAAAATAGGAGCAGTGTTAGACATTACAGTTTTGGTCACCACAATGCAAGAAGATGTTGAGACTCTAGAAAGAGTACAGAGAAGAACAGCAAAGATGATTAGGGGACTGGAGGCTAAAACATATAAAGAATGGTTGCTGGAATTGGGTATGTCTACTTTGACGAAAAGAAGAACCTGGGGTGACCTAATAGCAATCTTCCAATATTTGGAAGATTATAGAGAAGAGCAGGGGTGAGATTCAACTGGTGCTACTGCGGTTTGGTGACTACGCGCAAAGCAGCTGAGGTTGAAAAAGCAGGAAATAAAGGACAGCTAAAAGCCTGGGTGGGCGGGTCAACCAAACAGCAGCAAACACAGAACCGGTTTGGTGTCTGCTGGTCTTCAGAGCTACCGGTTCTATAGAGCCAGGCACAACCGGTAGCATCCCATCCCTGGAGAAGAGGGGTCCATCTATTTTCCAAAGTACTTGACAGCAGGACAAGAAGTAATAGATGGAAACTAATCACGGAGAGATCCAACCTAGAAATAAGGAGAAACTTCCCGGCAGCTAGAACAATTAGTCAGTGGAACAGCTTGCCTCTAGAAGTTGTGGGCTTTTCTATCACTGGAGGTTTTTAAGAAAAGATTGGACGGCCATTTGTCTGACTGAGCATGGGGTTCAATCCCTAAAAAGCCTCCAAAAGCCCTTCCAACTCTGTTATTCTGTAATTTTTTTTAATTTTGCTTCTGTGCTCCTAACTCTACTGTTTTGGAATATGTGACTTTTCTTTTAGTTATTGTAGCTGGTTATTCCTGGCAGACCTACTCTTCATCTTCAAATCAACTTCATTCAATGATTCCAATAAGTCTAACCCAAGAATAATATTATAGTCCTGTGTTAGTTCAAGATCTGGGTGTGAATAAAATTGCCCCAAATCTGATGATATTGCTAAACCTTGCAAAAGAAAATGTTTTTAATAGTCCCAAGATCTCATCTGACCACCATTTCACAATGTTGCACACGATATTTCTTCAATTTTCTGATTAAAAAAGCTGCGGAAACGTCACAAGGTTTCAGCTGTTTCTACCACTGGGTGATGCCTATTCATCACAGTTTAACTTTTATTGTCGATCCAGGATTCTGTCCGTTTTGATTTATTGTATTTGCTACTCTGTTGCTGTGTCGTGATTTTAATTAGGCACCTACATTAGTCCTTGGGAAATGCAGCAGGGTAAAAACAAAGGAAATAAAATTAAGGCATTTAAATGAAAACACAAGAGACTTTGCAGATACGGTACGTATGGTTGATGGCATTTATGTTATTGACGGGTTACGGACCATTTCCACTGACGTTGCTTCTGATAAACTCCATAGATTTTCTACATGAGAACCCTACTATTGACTCCCACAATAGGTAGTCTTCAACTTACAACTATAACTGAGCCTCAAACTTCCACTGCTAAGCGAGGCAGTTGTCGAATGAATAATTGCTCCTATTTTACAACCTTTCCTGACACAATCGCTGCAGTGGTTAAGTTAAGAGCACGGTTGTAAATTGCTTGTCAGGATCACAATCACATGGTCCTTGTTTTCTGAGCTTGGTTTTCTTGTAGACTTTTCAGTGCCCAGCTAGGTGCTGGTAGGGAGTGGGGTTTGCTCTCAGTTTATATTCTACCTAGGGCTTGCCCTAGTCAGTGTTGGGTGGGGATGGTCTGACAGTTTCTTTGGTTGGGCTGTTTACTGCTAGCTTGTTTGGTAGTTCTTTGATTGGGGTATTGTTGATTTCTCGATCATTGGTCTGGTTTAAATCTCTGGAGTTAATCTAAGCTCATCTGGGTGAACCCTTCATTCCAGAAACAAAGAGCAAGTTGAAAGTTACCCGTAATATCTCATTGTATACAGGATTCAGCGTCTTCTTCTTCACAGATGTCTTTCTTTTGCCCAGTTTATGTTTTTCTGGTAGCAGGTAACTCTTCACATATCTAAAAAGGTTCCAAGGCCAAAGATGAGAAGACAAGAGTCAGAGTATGGTTTCCAGTGAAGGTTAGTATCTATCTAAAAAAACCCGATTAGATTATATTTAAATTTCTCTTTAAATGAAAAAAAAAAACCTATGACTTTGTTACAAACTTCTTCTAAGAACTGAAATATGAAATATTTGTTACTACTATTTTTTTTCCTCTACAAATTCCTTTCAGCCCTATTTGGGTTTGAACGTTTACTGAATTTTAGAAACCGATGGCAGAAAAAGACCCAATGAAACATTAAGTGTGCCTTTCAAGTTTTTTGTTTTTATTTTCTTTTTAATTTATTTATAAATTTTAATTATTTATTTTATTACCAGGAGACTCTGAATTCTAGTCCCACCCTTCGGCATGAAAGCTGGTTGGGTGACTTTGGGCCAATCACCAGGAGACTG